CAGTACTAATCACCAACATCTCCAGGTGGTTACTTCTTTTTTTCTGGAGTTTATTTTTATCGATTATTTGATTGAACTATTATTATCAAGACTACTGCCGACATTAATAATAATAATAATATACATTTGAAATCATCAATCAATGATTGTTAGACCAACATTAGAAACCTGGAAGCACTGAAACACGGCCGTTTCGTCCTGGTATGGGACTCATCAGCAGTGCGCACCAACGATTCCTGCACTTCACAGGATTAGAACCCGGGATCATTGGCATTGTAGGCGAACGCCTTACCATTGGACCACTGGGCCGGCATCCAACCGAGCTAATTAATGTCTAACTCTGATTGATCTACGGATTTTGAGCGACCTCACCCATTTGTCTTCGGTAGTTATTGCCTACACGCGACAGGGTTGAACTCCATTAGTCACGTCTTCTCAACTAGAACTCCGAGAATTTCCTCACGAAGAAGATAGTCACTAGTGAGCACTGTTACGATATTTTGGGGCAGAGTTTTGGAGGTTTGCGATTTTTTACACATTTGAAATCATCAATCAATAATATACTTTGATTGGAAGAGTTTTGTAAGGATTCCTATGTTTTGCTGGATAGATAGTTGAGTGATTGATCTCAGTTGATATATTTATCAGTACTCTATTCTACATGTCAAGCAGACAGCATTTTTTTTTCATTACCGGGTTATTATGAAGATTGTTAAATTTTATTTGAAACCATGAATCGATCAATGTTAGACTCATGTTTTCAAATGTGTGACTTAAAAATCTTCACAACCCCGTAATGCAAATTATCTGTGCTCACTAGTGACTAGTTTCGTGAGGAATATTCTCCGAGTTCTAGTGGGAAGACGTGACCAGTGAAGTTCAATCTGTTCGGGTGTAGACAGTAACAACTACCGAAGACTGTGTATGAGGTTGCGCAACTCCGTGAATTGATTGAAGTTAGACGTTAACATCGTCAGATACTGGCTCAGTGGTCTAACAGTTAGGGCGTTGGCGCACAATACCGAAAGTCCTGGGTTGGAATCCTGCGGAGTGCAGAAGTCGTGGATGCGCACTGCTGAGGAGTCCCATAAAATGACGAAATGGCCGTCTTGCAGTGCTTCCAGGTTTCAAATGGTGATCTAACATTGATCGATTCATGGTTTCAAATAGAGCATTTTTTTCAATTAAAAAAGGTCGATCAGGCATAATCGGCTATCCATATTTCTTACGGACGTTATAATCTTCATTGTTTAAGTATTGATTTCTTATCTTAAAAGTATGTGTATTTTTCATCTGAATCGAAAGAGAGAAAATTCACAAACAATAGTTCTATTTCAATAAAACAAAATGAGATAAGAAAAAGCTTCAAGTATACATATATTTTAATTTATGCCTATCACCACCCCCAATGGAGCACTGGTCGCCGATCAGCTTTTTCTATTTTGGGCCTTCCTTTAAAGTTCTACCAAATTGCAGTTCATTCTTTTCATATCTGTCTCCGATTCACGGCGGAATGTGTCCTTTGGTTGTTCGCTTTTCGTTTGGCTTTGAGGATTCCAAGTTAGGGTTTACCTCGTGATGCATTTGGGAGATTTCGATGATGTGTCTTATCTAACTCTAGCTCTTTTGCCTAGGTTTATTACTCAGCTGGAGTCTGGTTCATTCCCTTCCACAGTAAGTTTCTGCTGATGGCGTTTGGCCAAAAGATACTCAGTATTTTTCATAGATAACTATTCGTAGAAATTCGTGTCTTGTGGATGATGGGTTTCGTGATTCTCCAAGTTTCTATCCCATGCAGTAGTACTGTGTTGACGTTTGTATTGAAAATTCTGACTTTCTAATTGGTTGACAGTTGTTTTGAGTTACAGATGTTCTTCATATAAATAATAGTGACTAGCGAAAGATCATTATAATATCTCTCAAAGAATCACTAAAACATTAGGACTCTGATACAAAGAAATGCTTCAGTATTCATATACACAAACGTTGAACACACCATGTTCAGGTTTCATGTAAAACAAGACAATATTCATTAAACAAGCGAATCCATATTCAACCAGTTTGTTGGGGACTTTAGATCCCCAGAACTCGCTTAATAAATGTCTTAATTTTGGATTTTATGTTTCCGAGCATGGAGTGATCAGTTGACCTTGAGATTTCATTTGCCTCTAGGAAAATCCTTGGCTGTGATTGGTTGCTGTGTATTTTAGTGTGGTATTTTTGTAACTGTCCCTAGGACGTTTCTATGATGTATAAATAAACGCGATTTGTGTGTGCTTCCTGGGTGTTTGTAGAATACACTTTCTACGCTAGATCAAGACTTCACGTTAGCTGTTCGGGGTGAACGGATCAGAGTAGCCTACCGTATGACTGGTTCATTGTCTCGTTCTCGTTTATCGACTAAGGTGAACTCGTAATAGTTTAAACCATACCTAGTGACGATTATAACACAGTTGTATTTTAAAGTTCATTTAGTTTACGAGAGAATTTATCAATGTTCATTTCAATATTAAACGTAGAATGAAACACTTGTTTAGCGATAGGCAGTTCTTAACTACTTTTCTGCTAATATCCAGCTTTGTGATGAAAATCACTTATGAAATAATGTTTAGATCATCAATCAATCATTGTTACTAGACCACCATTAGCATCCTGAAGGCACTGGATGTCCGTTTCGTCCTGGTATGGGACTCATCAGCAGTCCACATCCACGACTCCTGCATCTCGCAGGATTAGAACCCGGGATCTTCGACATTGTGCGCAGACGCCTAACAATTGGACCATTGGGCCGGTATCCAACGGTGTTAATGTCTAACTCTGATTGATCTACGGATTTTTGCGCGACCTCACCCATTTGTCTTTGGTAGTTGCTACCTACACCCGACAGGGTTGAACTCCATTGGTCACGTTTCCTCAACTAGAACTCTGAGAATTTCCTCACGAAGAAGCTAGTCACTAGTAAGCACTGTTACGATATTTTCAGGCAGAGTTTTGGAGGTTTGTATTTTTACACATTTGAAATCATCAATCAATCATTGTTAGACGACCATTAGAAACTTGGAAGCACTGGACGGCCGTTTCGTCCTGGTATGGGACTCATCAGCAGTGCGCATCCACTACTCCTGCATCTCGCAGGATTAAAACCCATCGGGTGCTGGCCCGGTGGTCCTATGGTTAGGCGTTCGCGCAAAATCCCGGAGATCCCGGATTCCAATCCTGATAGAGGTAGGAATCGTGGATGCGCACTGCTGATGAGTCCCATACCAGGACTGCATGTCCGTCCAGTACTTCCAGGTTTCTAATGGTGGTCTAGTAACAATGATTGATTGATGATTTCGAATGTGTAAAAACACAAATCTCCAAAACTCTAACTGAAAATATGAAATAATGATTAGACCTTTATAAAAACCAGTGCATTGTAACTTCAACCTTTGTTTAACCAGGAAGTGCTTCGTGTGCTGGGGTAGGGTTGTGTGTCGAGTAGACTGTGAGGTTATCTGGCAGAGGAGAGAACAAAAGAAAAACAGGTGAGACGACGAAACAGTAATCACACTGGATTTAATGCACTCACATTTAGTAGGTGGTTTGTCAGGATTATTATATCAGGAACTGACCATCTTATTTTACCTACTACTCGCATTGTACAATACTGCATACTGATTGATGTTCGATACCAACGCAGTAATCTAATGGTTAAATATTCATCGCTACTCTTTTTAACGTTCCCAATACGAATTCTAGTGTAGTCGCAGATCTACACCCTTGAGAGGTTCCACACTAGGGATAAAACAACTGTACATGACTTCTGGACTTTCAATTTTTCTGTCTAATATAAACTGTAAACTTATTTTAATAATATGACTGTATTCGATCACGAATATGATAATATAACGATTTATATTCCGAACATTTATTCATGTTTTCAATCTATCTGTCTGTCCGCATAGTCTTCTAATATAAAAAAAAAACTAACATCACTTCCATTGTAGTCGAAATAAAAATTCCCAATAGAATAATTTGATTGGTCTATTTTACTTGAATGTGCGTTTGTTAATACACATCTGTGTACAGGAGAAGAGAATAAATCCAATATGTGATAGTAGAGTAGAGTGATGAACACAAATTGGTGACAAGCCGAAAATTGTCTTATAGGTCTCTACTCTCTCTCTCTCTCTCTATACTGTCGTCATTATTTTAGTCTACCGATTGACCAACAGAAAAACGCGTTGATTTTAATGTCTGTCTCACCACTATGTATGTATAGAGATACATATATATATTTCATGAAAAATATCGCTTTAACTAAAAATGTGTTATCGCTAACTTTCTACCCAAAGTGTTGACTATATGAGTGTGAGGGTGAGGAATACTACTGATTATAATCATATCAGTAATCATAATATCTGTTAACTTGTGTTGTACACAACATATAGACGCGTTATGCAAAAACAAAACTCTATTTTCACGCACTTCACTTCTATTATTTACACACTTAAAAATGGGGTAGACATTATATATTTACAACATAGAAAATATGTAGATTGTAAGGATAGATATAGTTTTGTTGTTTTTTCGTTTTCACGACAATCAGTAAGAAAGGGGGTTTTAGATAAATAAAAAAAATGGAATTTTACCGACAAAAATAAAATGGTAGACTTTTCTTCATTACACTTTACAATGGATAGATAACATTGATTGTACACACACATGTAGTAGTCCATTTATATTTCCCCTCTCTAATAAAACAACCAAACACCTCATTCAATATCATATCATACATTCATCACAATTTTTCTTCACCAATCCTATCAAATTATTATTATTCTTATTCTTATCAGATAGAAAAAAATTACTATCAAGTTGTTAACAACATTCTTTCTTCTGTCTTACCATTTCTTCGGACTGAATCCTACCACGTTACACCAAATGACACAGACCTAGTGTTAATTGAAAACTGAACAAATATCTATAAAATTGACAGAGAAAAACAAACAAAGAAGATGCTTAACAACACATTGGATTATCATCAACATCATCAACATTCACAACAATCTCTGCATAAAAAAACATTATTACCATCTATGACATCATCATCACCATCATCATCATCAACAGCAACCACCACCAACACACGAACAATATCATCGAATGTTTTATTTAAAAATTCAATTAAATCTAATTATAGTTATTCATCACAGAAATTATTAAATAAATTCAAATTAAATCGTATAAAAGACAGCAACGCCATTTTAATATTGAATCGTGCTACTAATATTAAACGTAAATCAGCTAGCATTCATTTACATCATCGATCAATTAAACAAAAACGTTTAACTGCTTGTTCATTAACGAATCCGTCTTATTCACCGACCACTACTACAACTACTACTGATGTTACATCGCTATCAAATTCATCACAATATTCATCAGTATCATTGATAAGCAACAACAATAACAGTTCATCAATTATTGAACAAAATATTGATCAATGTTCAATTTTAAATGAACAAGAAGGATTACTAAGAAAATCAATACAAAATCATATATCGATGACTCATTTAAAATCAACGCATAATTCACCAACTTCTAAAATGATCACACACAATGATGAGAATAATAATAATATTAATAATAATAATAAACTAACGTATAGTATGAGTCATTTGATCGATCATCAAAATTCCTATTCAAAATTAACGGGGAAAGCATCTGCATTTTCTATTGAATCAATTATTGCGAAAAAACAAAAACATGTTACAAATTTGAATGGAATTATTATGAATAATAATAATAATCATGATGATGATGCTAATTACGATCAAGAATTCGCAACTTCACATATTTCTTCTTCATCATGCTCAACAAATAAATATGCAAATGATAAAAATCAATATTTCACGAGTTCATTATCATATTTGTCTAGTTCAGTGTTCAATGATGGTAAGTGATTTTGAAATTGATTGATCGATGAATCATTCATTCATTGATAATTAGAGCGAAAGAAATAACTTTTTTTTTTGGTTGGTATTCGTGTGTTTTAATCAGTAAAGGATTATGGAGATTATTGAATTTCATTGAAAAATCATGAGGTGTTTGCATGTAGAACTGAAGGTGCTAAGTTTGTGCGTTGCTGAAAAGTCTTTAACAGGACGAAACCATTGTCTAATGCACCCAGATTTTCATAGGTGGTCTAACATTGATTAGTTAGTTCATTATTATATCGATATACGAGATGGTGGAGAAAATTTGTAATGTTTGGTTCTCTGAGCTAGATGTTTTGGTTGTGGAGCTTTCATTTTTCTTCTACTGAACAACGATATCATCAACACAAACTTCAGATAGAAGTTTGCTGATGTTGTTACAGTAGAAGAACAATGAAAGCTCCACAATCAGAGCATCCAGCTGAGAGAACGAAACACCATCACCACAAAATATCAATATATGAACGTAACAACTTTCAATTAAACTGTTAAATTGATAAAAGTTAGACTTTAACAGTGCTGAATAATGGCTCAGTGGTCTAGTGGTTAAGAGTTCACACGCGAGACAGAAGTTCTTGGGTTCGATCCTCACGTATAGAGATCATAGATGTGCACTGTTGATGAGTACCATATTAACACGAAACAGTTATCCAGTTTTTAACAAGGTTTCTAATGCTGGTCTAGCAATGATTGATTCATGATTTTACTGTTTTACATTAAAACAATTAAAGACCTATTTTATAATTATGATACAAGTCATAAACAGTTGATAAGAATTCAACAAAATCCGTAGATCAATCAGAGTTAGACATTAACACCGTTGCATGCCGACCCAGTGGTCCAATGGTTAGGCGTTCACATACAATACCGAAGGTCCTGTTGGTTCGAATCCTGCGAGGTGCAGGAGGAGTCGTGGATGCGCACTGCCACTGATGAGTAGTCCCATACCAGGACGAAACGGCCGTCCAGTGAGTGCTTCCAGGTTTTTAATGGTGGTCTAATAACAATGATTAATTGATTGATTATTTCAAATGTGTAAAAACATAAAAAACCTCCAAAACTCTGCCCAAAAATTAAGAGTGTGTGTGTGTGTGTGTGATTTTCGTTATTTCACTCAAATTTTTTATAGTTCTTCTCTTTTATACAAGTGAATTCTGTATAAGAAATTCTGTATATATAGTAATGATAGTAATAATGGTAGGCTAAAATAATGTTTCAATACAGTAGTAACACATTGACAATTAACCATAGCAGAATTTTATAATGTAACAGCCGGTACACTAAATGTACTAGTGTAGTGAACGAGAACACAGGTGAGAGCAACCGAATTGTATTTAACGAAAATTACAGAGTTACTCAGTAAAAAAGGAAAACCATATCGTAAATCGTTAATTTGCAAAGTATCAGTTCATCCCATCGAACTGGACTGTTCCTGTTGCAAAACATCAATCCATTGTCTGACATTTCACCACTGTTCATGCTATTTCATACAAATTCCATTGTGTTCCCACTCTTCTTCCTTTCTCTTGATCTTCCCCCATCTTCTGCTGCCAGACATTACGTTTACGCTCGCGTCATATACTACTTATAAGTAGCTCACACCACACTAGGAGAATGGATGTACAATAATAAACAGGGGAGAGGGAGAACTAGGAAAAAACGTAAGCGAAAAAAAAATAGAAGATGAGATGAGTCGATAACTTGATGACTGTACAAAATGTACTTACATTCACCTAAAAACACGTGAGCGTAGACAATCATCTTCAACTATATGCAAGCTTCTTCAGATTCAAAGAATTTGGAAACTGAAACTAGGCGAGGATAATGTAAAGATTTTAAATTACTTTCAATTGTATACATTGTAGAAATACAATACTATTAACAAAAAAAAACGTTTTATTCTGGAAAAGTCATAAATACAGAGTAAAGTTTCACAATGTTCAGCAACTGTATACTTACTAACTTACTTACGTCTGTTACCCTTCATGAAGCCATAGACCGCCGATTTAGTCAGTTAGATGCAACGTAGAACTTCGTACGTAAGTACATCAGTTCATGTTGCCATACCACATCAGCACAGAGATGTAATTGTCAATTCAAATCCAATAGTAGAAGAGGTAGTAAAGGTATTAGAAGTAATCGGAGAGGTTAGGATTACAAGATATTATTCAACAAGTATGATTCAGTGAGATATTTTTAGAAAGTCAAAAGTAGAGGGGTTGAAGAATCCAGAAGATTAGGATTTGAGAGAACACAAAGAATAAATGCACTGGCGCCATTGCGAACGATTTTGAGCCATGTCATTCAAGACCGCCGATTAGTGAATTATTTTTCTAGTTAGCATTTTTCTTTCTTGTATGATGAGTTGGATTTCAAAGGGATGGTGTCGCTAATCTCATGCCCAACCTTCTTCCTGTATACAGGTTTGGGACTGGGCTGTAACCCTAGAATCGAATCCAGATATTTTTCAATTGTAGAAATGCAGCCCTTGTTTTACCAATCCGCGCACTCACATCTGTATCGGATCCAACTTTATTGTCGATGATGCTGCCTGTAGTCCCTTCGAGGCTACTGCTGGTCCCAACCCCGGATAAAGGATGAGGGGTTGGACATGGGGTTGGCGCCCCCATCCTAACTATAAACTAACTTGCCAAAAAAAACGCTAACCAGAAAAAATAGTTCAAAATAAATTTAACTAGTTTCTTATGAATTTGATTTAAATCTTTTCGCAATCACATTCATTGTAAACATAGGGAGAAGCTGTGAACAGGGCAGTTCAACTCAGACGAGGAGTGTAGGCAGTTTTACCTACCGAAGAAAATGGTAGAGATTGCACAATCAAAGATAGACATTAACACGCGTTGGATACCGGCTAAAAGGACCAGAGATTAGGTGTCCGCAAGTGAATAGCCGGAGTAATGGATGCTTACTGCTGATGAGTCCTAGACTAGGACGAAACGGTCATGCAATGCTTCCAAGCTTCTAATGATAATCGAACAACGAGCAATTCATTATTTCAAAAAAAAACAGTTTTAAACTAGTAGAATATGAAACCAAACAGTATTTGTGTTTAATTATCCTAATAAACAATCAATTCGATAAAGAAAGGGAGGTTAAGTTATTTTAAAAAAATTGTAGTACAGAAATAATACTATTTGCATTACGGGGTTGTGAAGATTGTTAAGTTACATATTTTCGAAACCATGTGTAACTTAACAATCTTCACAACCCCGTAATGCAAATTACCTGTGCTCACTAGTGACTAGCTTCGTGAAGAATCTTCTCCCATGAGTTCTAGTGGGAAGACGTGACCAGTGTGAGTTCAACCTGTTCGGGTGTAGACAGTAACTACTACCGAAGACTGTGAATGAGGTTGCGCAACTCCGTGAACTGATTGAAGTTAGACGTTAACATCGTTAGATACCGGCTCAGTGGTCAGATGGTTGGGCGTTCGCGCACAATACCGAAGGTCATGGGTTGGAATCGTGCGGGGTGCAGCAGTCGTGTATACGCATTGCTGATGAGACCCAAACCAGGACAAAATGGCCGTCCAGTGATTTCAGGTTTCTAATGGTGGTTTCAAAAATAATACTATTTGTTAGAAGTTTAGATAACTAAGTAAAAATATTATTTATTTTCCGTTTAAAAAGAAATAATTTTAAATAAGTTCACTTGTAAATTTTAATTTAATAAAAAGTGAAATAAACTGTTAGAAACCTGAAAACATTGAACAACCATCAAGTCCTATGGTATGGCACTCATCAGTAATGAGCATCCACAACTCCTGCAACTTGCAGGATTCGAAACTAGGATCTTAAATCTTACGCTCAAACGCTTAACCTGTGGATCACTGAGCCATTGACCAACTGTGTTCATGTCTAACTTTGATCAATACAAGATATTGTGCTACTTCACCCATTGTCTTCAGTAGTTACTACTTAAAGCCGATAGGGTTGCACTCAACTGGTCACGACTACTTACTAGAACTGGGAGAAACTTCCTCATAGAGCTAGTTACCACTGAGCACATGATAATTTGCATGAAGGTTTCTTACGGTTATTTAACAATGATCGATTCATGATTTCAAAAAAGTTAATTGCACCTTGAATTTAAAAAAACTATTTTTTAAAATGTGCGACATTTAATTTTGAAACTTTTCACTTGTATATATATCTATGATTCTCTGCCTTGAATTCAAAAATGCTCAATCTTGTAATGAATATTCATTGAGTGATATTTTTAAAAAAAGATTCTCGGAGTTCTAGTGAGAAGATGCGTGACCAGTGGAGTTCAACCCTATTCGGGTGTAGGCAGTAAATACCAAAGACATATGGGTGAGGTTACGCGAAATCCTTAGATCAATCAGAGTTAGATATTTACACCCTTGGATGCCCGCCCAGTGGTTTGATGGTTAAGCGTTCGCACACAATACCGAAGGTCCTGTTGGTTCGAATCCTGAGAGAGGCAGGAGTTGTGGATGCGCACTGCCACTGATGAGTTCCATACCAGGACGAAACGGCCATCTTTCAGTGCTTCCAGGTTTCTAATGGTGGTCTAATAACAATGATTAATTGATCATTTAAAATGTGTAAAAACACATCTCCATAACTCTAATTGAAAATTGATATTGACTATATTTGTTTTAATTGCATTAATTTCCATAAATGATCTTAAATTGTTTGCACTTGAAAATATTTTTCTTTTCATAAAATAAACTGTTTTAAAGAGATTTGTATCAAGGTCACAGATCATAGATATTGTACTCCATCTACCTCTCTCTTATATCAAGGAAAATTAAGTAACTACATAAGTTGTGTCGATGATTAACTATATTGAATTTTGAAAAACAAATGTTAATAGGTTTGTGTGTAGTTTGAAAAATTCTAGAGTAGTGATTATCTGATTGGAAAAATCATGATAGAACCCTTCTGGAGTTACTGCCAGTGCCATGTGTGTGCACTTTTATG